GAGGCTTATAGCCTATTTCAAACTATTTCTCAGTCTTGCAATTCTTAGCTGATATAGCTAAATTATGTGTATTTATTTTGCTATTTCTAGATTCCTGGTTGTGTCCAGGCTTAGCACAGGCAGTATTTTTTATTTTGACACAAGTAAGGTCAGTGTTATGTAGGACAGTATGTCTCCCGTGTGCAGTGGTATTCTTTATGTCTGTACCATGTTACAAATCGGGTTTCTCTGCCTGCTGTGTATACAGGTTATGTTGTGAATTTGTTTTTAGTGTTGTAAAGATGGTGTAGTCTGAATGGAAGCTTCCTGTAACTGTTTACATGTCTCTTCAAGAATTGAATCTTCTGATTCTTCGTTGTAGCGATGTTTTTGGGACAGTATATTTAGCACTTCAATCACTGTGTGGTTCGAGACTTACTGTCCCACCTCCAAATATTTACTGTTTTTTCTTCTTCAACTAAATTGTGAGTTTTTAGAGAGCAATGCGCTTTAAGAAGAAAACCTCCTATGTGGTAGTTCTATTACTCTCTTTAGTGTTCAGTGATTTAATCTCTGGTAAAGTCCTCAGAGAAGAGAAAAACCATGTCTGAAAACTAGTACTTCTTGATTTGCTATTTTACCTTGCCATTGCTTTTGCTCTGTAAATGCCACTTTTATAGATTATTAGATGCATATTTTTCAACTAAATTAATGCAAACTTTTATCTAAATTTGCATATAAAATTTGCCCGTTTTTCACTATATCCAGACAAATTTTTGAAAGTGTTTTTCTGTATGTAGCAGAAATGCTAAATTTTTTTTGTCTGTTTTCTTTTCCTTTTTTTACTGGAAGAATTCTTGGCGGACTTGAATTGCCAATTCGTTTTTCCTTTTTTTAAAAAAAAAATTGAAGTGTGCAGTGAGTCTTCCAAGCATTTTAGTAGTTTTAGAAGAATTAAGAAAACTGGCTTTCCAAATAATCTTATTTATGATGTCCTTCTGCCTGTATATTGTTGTGTAGTCAGTGATAAAGATTGATATTTTTAACTAGTAAACAACCTCCCCCATTCTCCCCCTTCCCCGACAAAAAGCAAGCTATGAACATTTTGGGTCTTCAAGGATGATAATCAAGCATGAAAGGAGGAGGGAGGAGAACATGAACAACCTCTACCCTTCCACCTGCCCAGAATACCACTTAACGGAAATACTAAACTTCTTTGAAGCTATGTTCTCTGTTTTTCTTCTGATCACCTTATATACCACCACCATGTCAGTGTTGACAGAATGGCTGGTTTTGCAACCCCACCTAGCTTTAGCTGAAAGCCTGAGTTGTTCTTCAGGTTCCTTCTTAAATCTGGATGTTTACACAATCTAAAATAACAAGCACTGCTAGCTCCTCTTGGTTTTGTTTGGTTTTTGTTTTGGTTTTTTTTCCCCAAAGAGAATTTATACTCTTTTTTTTTTTTTTTCCCCTCAACAGTTTTAAGGTTGCAAAAGCCTAATTTGAGTGGGATGATAAAAGCTGTATTGCTCTGGTTATTTCCTAGGTTGCTGGAAGGCATGGGCTGGATTTTGTTATTAGAGGTTTTGAATTTTTCAAGTTTCTAGGATTTGAAATAAATGGAGCGAGAAAAATGACATTGCTGTGAATACAGCAGACCTCCTGTCACTCATTTTAATTGTGAATACCTTGTTCCTGAGAGGCATGGACCTTCTTTCTCTGGGTGAGCTTGAAACTCAACAGGAGTTGGGTGTTAGGAGTTGATGCCTGTTAGAAGTGGGATTTTGCTTTCTGTTCAGTTGTCAGTGTGTTGCAAGCTCTGTGTTTCAGAGCAAAGTGCCAGCTGCTACCAGCTGTTCCTGTGCCAGCCTGCTCTGTGCTCTTCCTCCAGGTATTCTGAGCAATAACAGATTTTTCTGTTTCTCACAGGTGGTATTAATGCAGTGCATTTCCTAAATGGCCCTAACAGGGCAGTGTATTTCCTAAAGAAAATATACCTGTATTCCATAGTGGTGCTATAGTGGCTTTTCCAAAGTTCCATGTCTCATGATGTGTAGAACTGTTTTCAACTTGAGTGTAAACGGCTGATGAGCTAAAAGTACTGGATAACTAGATTTTTAAACTTCATCGTAGTGAATATTGTAAAAGGAGGGGGTTTTTGAGTTGTTAGTAGATTACTCAAAAATAATAATAATTATAGTTGGGCAGGAGTGTTGATCTGGTTGAGGGTAGGAAGAGGGATCTGGATAGGCTGGACTGATGGGCCAAGGCCGACTGTATGAGGTTCAACAAGGCTCAGTGTTGGGTCCTGCACTTGGGTCACAACAACCCCAGGCAACACTACAGGCTTGGGGAAGAGTGGCTGGAAAGCTACCTGGCTGAAAAGGGCACAAAGGTGTTGATCAACAGCTGGCTGAATATGAGCCAACAGCGTGCCCAGGTGGCCAAGAAGGCCAACAGCATCCTGGCTTGTATCAGACCTAGTGTGGCCAGCAGGACTGGGGAGGTGATCGTCCCCTTGTACTCAGCACTGGTGAGGCTGCATCTTGAGTACTGTGTTCAGTTTTGGGCCCCTCACTAAAAGACAGACATTGAGGTGCTGGAGCGTGTCCAGAGAAGGGCAACGAAGCTGGTGAAGGATCTAGAGCACAAGTCTTATGAGGAGCGGCTGAGGGAACTGGGGTTGTTTAGCCTAGAGAAAAGGAGGCTCAGGGGAGACCTGATCGCTCTCTACAGCTACCTGAAAGGAGGTTGTAGCCAGGTGGGTGTTGGTCTCTTCTCCCAAGTAACAAGCGATAGGACAAGTGGAAATGGCCTCAAGTTGTGCCCGGGGAGGTTTAGATTGGGTATTAGGAAAAATTTCTTCACTGAAAGGATTGTCAATCATTGAAACAGGCTGCCCAGGGAAGTGGTGGAGTCACCATCCCTGGAGGTGTTTAAAAGACGTGTAGATGTGGTGCTTAGGGACATGGTTTAGTGGGACTTGGCAGTGCTATGTTAATGGCCGGACTTGATGATCTTAAAGGTCTTTTCCAACCAAAATGATTCTATGATTTTACGATCAATGAAGCTAATACCTAGTGATGTTTCTGCTATCTTGAGACTTGAAAATCTAACATAAACGTTTTATTTCAGAGGTTAAGAAGATTATCAACAAAATACAGAACAGAGAAGATCTACCCAACAGCTACTGGAGAAAAAGAAGAAAATGTTAAAAAGAATAGATACAAGGATATATTGCCATGTAAGTCTGATTTATGTGTTAAAAGAAGCCAAAGAAAAGTACTTGGTTTTTTATGTATTTTGAATTTTACTGTTTAGTTATTACTGAAAGGCAAAATTGGAGATAATTTGCTGAAAGATAACTTTGATAAAATTTTGATTTTTAACTTGGAAAGCAAAGTAAGTGAACATTTGTATATTTCATTGGGAGAACTATCACTTAAAGATAAAATGTGTGCTAGGTCTCAAGCCATATCAAGCTGACATTTTCATTTTAGCTCAGAATAATCTAGAGCTTTACTAGGTGCTTAACTGTATTTTTTCCTTAGGAACATGTTATTCATGGTAGAAAACAAACAAATGTCAGCATAAACACTATATGAAACTTTAAAGAGTTTTAAGGAACCTGGTGTTGTGGTTTGCAGTAAAATCTTTTTTGCTTGTTTCTATACTGCAAATGGTGTCAGAGAACTTCCAGTGCTGGATTATCTTTGGTTTGTATTTTGCTAGAGCCCAAATGAAATTCAGTTTCTTGTACAAACACAGAAAACAAGAGTCAGAGCAGAATTTAAATTTTAAAACCACCAAGGTGTGGATATAACTGATCAGTGGTCTGTAATGACAAGATTGCCTGTTACAAGCTCACTTTGTGTAGCTCATGAGGCCATGTATTTCAGCAGCTCCTACTGTGCTTCTCAATATGAACAGCCAACAGTGAGATTAAAGGATAGTCTCCTGACTAATGCTATTTTTCATATCCCAGATGATTAACAACAGATACATTTTACTCTGCTTAGCCTCCTCAGAAGTGTTAGGAGATTTGTAACCAATTTGAAGTTGAAAATGGTCTTAAGCATCATTAGCTTTATTACAGAAACATATTTTGAAATTGAAACTCCAGTGAATCCAGTGTGTTTCAGATTGTTCTGTACCTGTGCGCTCTGTTTTTCTAGTGCTGGAATTTTTACTGTTTATCAGTGCTTGGAGCAATACTTCCAGCAGCAAACTTTGCCCAAAAGCCACAGGCCCTAGATTGTTTAACAAGGTGGGCATAGTGCTTGCTGCTGCACTGAGAAGGAAAGGCACATGTATTCAAATTTTGCTGAAGGGTGTATGTGTAACATACATTACCTGTGAAGAGTAGTATGGTACTAAGCTCAACTGCAGCAAAATATTTTAATATCATTGGGGTGTTTGTTTGTTTTGATTTTTTTTTTTAGTTGGGAGGAAACACGTTTAATGGATGGAGAGAAAAAGAGAAGGAAGTTGTTATTGTTGTCTTATTATTAAGAGTTGTACACTCTT